TTTACAAGTTTTCAAGAGGGAGCTTAGTATCAGAGGGTGCGGGGAGGGGGGGGAGGACGGGGGGGAGGTAAAATCTCCAGAGTGGTTTCCAACCTGTCTATAGACGGGGCTTGTGAAAAGAGACAGGGATAAGACTCTTGTGGTTCAATAGTGAATAACTGCTATCAGGACTGATCATGAATGTTGCAAATGTAAAGGTGGACATTTTGTAACAAAAGCAGGGGTGTGGTTGATCTTGCAGTCCAGGAACAAAGGACGCTGGGACCACCAAGGGAGAAGACCAGAGTGTGGGACCCTATCCAGAGACGCAACAATGCCAAAGATGGAGGCAGAGACGATGATGTGGAGAGATGAAGCAGCTGGGGACTCTAGACTCAAGGAGGGAGCTGGGGAGAGGGGCTGTGTGCTAGTGGCTGGGGGGCGGAGGGGACAGGCAGGCTTGCAGGGTATGTCCTTTGGTTGTTTGAATGGTTATATATTCCTGAGTGCTTCGGTGTACATGCAAAAAGAACCCAGAGGGAATGGAAGCAAATGCTGTTGAATGATGATGCATGGAAGGGATTGTAATCATTTCCATTGAAATGAAGTACATTAGGATGAATGTAAAGCTGATATTCTCCCATGTAAACTATCACTGAATTAACAGTAAAAACTTAAAAATATCCAGTCATTGTACAAAAAAAAAAGTCCAACCATTCCAAAATGTAGAATATGATCAAGAGCCAATGATACTTAAGGAAGAAGTCCAATGGACACAGAAAGCATTGACAAAGAACAAGGTCCAGGAACTGATGGAATACAAATTGAAATGTTTTAACAAACTAATGCAGCACTGGAGCCACTCACTCATCTGTTCCAAGAAGTTTAGAAGACAGCTACCTGGCCAAGTGGTTGGATGAGGTCCTTATTTGTGCCCATTTCAAAGAGAGGTAATCCAACAGAATGCAGAAATCATTGGACAATATCGCATGCTTGAAAAAAATTTTGCTAAAGATAATTTAAAAATGGCATCAACAATACATTGGCAGACAGAGGTTCAAGCCTGATTTAGAACAAGAACGTGGGATGAAGGATATCACTGCAGATATCAGATGGATCTTGGCTGAAAGCAGAGATTATTAAGTAATTTTTACCTGTGCTTTATTGACTATGCAAAGGCTTTCAACTGTATGGTCATGGCAAGCTATGCACAACATTGTGGAGAATAGAAATTCTGGAACACTTAATTGTACTCATGAAGAACCTGTACATAGACCAAGGGGCAGTTGTTCAAATACCAAGGGTACACTAAATGGCTTAAAATTAGGAAAGGTGTGCACCAATATTGTATTCTTTCACCATACTTATTCAATCTGTATAAGGAGAAAAAAATCCTAGGAGCTGGATTACATGAAGAATGTGGCATTAGTATTGGAAGAAGACTCATTAACCTGTGATATACAAATGACACAACCTTGTTTGCTGAAAGCAAAGAGGATTTAAAATATTTACTGATGAAGATTAATGATCATAGCCTTCTGTATGGGTTGCATCTCAATGTAAAGAAAACAAAAATCCTCACCACTGGACCAATCAACAGTATCAAGATAAATGGAAAAAAGATTGTTTTCAAAGACTTAATCTTGCTTGAATCAACCATTAACACTCATGGAAGCAGTGTGAAGAAATCAAATTATGCATTGCCTTGGGCAAATCTGCTGCACAAGCCCTCTTTAAAGTGTGTTCAAGAGTGAAGATATTAGTTTGATAAATAAGCGCATGACCCAAATCAGTTATTTTCAGTAGCCTCATGTGCATGTGAAAGTTGGACAGTGAATATGGAAGATCATAGAAGAATTGATGCATTTGAGTTATGGCATTGGAGAAGAGTATTAAAAATACCAAAAATTAAAAATTGTTGTTAAGAATCATTCCCACCCCCTCCACACACAGAGTAGATAGGGATGGGCAACTTGGACAGTGGCTACCCAAAATGGGGGGTGGGGGTGGGGGGAGGGCTACAAAGGTAAGAAGTGACTGGCTTACAAGCTTTCAAGAGGGAACCTAGAGCCAGGGGGCCTGGAGGAAGGCAGAATCTCAAGTGAGTAGTATCCAATCTGTCTAGGCGGAGCTGATGAAATGAAATGCAGATGGGTCTCTTGTGATACA